CTTTGGGAGTGATGGAAATGTTTGGAATTATAGGCAATGGTTCTACAATGTTGTGAATGTATTGAATTGTATACTTTAAAATGTATTTTTGCCGGGTGCTGTGGTGCACGCCTGTAATCCCAGTGGCTCAGGAGGCTGAGACAGGAGGATCGTGAGTTCAAAGCCAGCCTCAGCAATCGCAAGGTGCTAAACAGCTCAGTGAGACCCTGTCTCTAAATAACGTACAAAATAGGGGTGGGGATGTGGCTCAGTGGTTTAGTGCCCCTGAGTTCAATCCTTGGTACCTCCCCCACAAAGAAATTTTTATGTTACATGAATTTCATCTCAATAATAAATATATTTCATCAAGAAAGTAGAAAAAAAAGATACCACACAGAATGGGAGAAAATATTTGCAAATCATATATCTGAAAAGCTCTTGTTTACAATGTATATAAAGAATTCTGACAACTCAATAGTTAAAAGAAAAATAACACAATTATAGATTGGATAGAGGATTTGAATAAACATTTTTCCAAAGAAGATATGCTAATGGCCAATAAGAATATGAAAAGATGCTCAACATAATTAATCATTGGGGAGAAGCAAATAATAATTACCATGAAACACCACTTCATACCCACTAGGGTGGCCATTATCAAAAAGGTAGATAACAACAAGTGTTAGAATGTAGAGAAACTGAAACCCACACACATGGCTCGTGGGAATGTAAAAATGTAGCCACTGTGGAAAACAGCCTGTTAGTAACTCAGAATGTTAAATAGTGACCTTATGATCCAGCAGTCTCACACCTATGGAGAAAAGAAGTTTATGTCCACACTAAAACCTGTATCTAAATATTTGTAGCAGTATTATTCATAATAACCCAAAGTGAAAACAACCTGAATGTCCATTAACTGAAGAATGAATAAACAATGTGGTCTATCTATATAATGGAATAATTTTTGGCAATAAAAAGAAATGAGGTACTGAAACTGTCTTGTGGATAAACCATGAAAACATTATGCTAAGGGAAAGAATCTAGAAACAAAAGGCCATATTCTGTATGATGTAGTTTATGTGAGATGACCAGATCATTTATTGAGGGAGAAAGTTTATTATAGCAGGGAGAGATGAAAAAGGATTGCTAATGAATACTGAGTTTCTTTTCTTTTTTTAAAATATCTTATTTATTTATTTTTATATGGTGCTGAGGATCGAACCCAGTGCCTCACATGTGCGAGGCAGGCACTCTACCACTGAGCTACAGCCCCAGCCCCTGTGTTTCTCTTTTGAGATGATAAAAATGTTCTAATAGATTGTGGTGATGCTTGCACACTCTGAATGTTCTAAAACCATTGAATTATACACATTAAATGAGTAAATGCATGATATGTGAATTATATTTCAATAAAGCAATCATAGAAAAAATGTAATGAAAAAGTCCAAATCATAATGACCACAGTAATAGTCATATATTATTGAGTAACAAGTTACCCCACAACCTAGCAGCTTAAAATAGCAAATATGATATCACAATTTCTGAGGGTCAAGCATTCTGGGGGCTTTGCTGGGTAGCTGTGGCTCCGAGTTTCTCCTAAGGTGGTAGTTATGATGCCAGAGAGCCTGCCATCTCTGAAGATTTGACTGGGGCTGTAGGATCTCCTTTGAAATTCATATGGCTATTGGGCAGGAGGCTTGCATTCTCTGCCAAATGGCCTTTCCACATGGCTGTCCACGACTTGTCCCTCAGAGTGGATGATGATGGGGGGCAGGGGGAGAGCGAGCCTAAGAAAGAGGCCACAGTTTTTTATAATCTTATCTTAGAAGCAACATACCTCCAACTCTGCCATATTCTCTTAGTCACACAAATCAATCCTGTGACAATACACAGGGTATGAACCCCAAAACATGGGGCTCATTGGGGACAACTTGGACCACAATCTTGGACATCTTGGACCACATGTTGTACCATGGCATCAAATACCCAAGCATACTGTAGCAGGAACTTCTTATTGTCCCCTAATATCCATTCTTCCCTTTTCTGTAGTAATAAGATCCTCCTCTCAGTGTTCTGCTAGGTTCCTGGCTGTTCACATTGAATGAAGACTTCATTTCTTAGCCCACCTTTCCAACTAGGAGTTGCCATTTGATTAAGGTCTAGCCAAAGGGAAGTAGGAGGAAGTGACGTGTGTAATGTTCAAAAGTGTGTTTATTAAAGAGAAGAACTAGACCCTTTTAACTCCTTCTACCCTGTTGCTGGTCATATGGACATGGAGCGGGCAGTGAGGTGCCATCTTGGACAGGAGAGCCAGGACAACAAACACTAAGGCTGGTAGACCAGAAATCTAGAAGCAGCCTGGATTTCAGAAAAGTACAGATTTCCCATACTAGCCTGATTAGCCTTACTCCTGGATGACATTTTTTTAATATTTATTTTTTAGTGGTAGTCGGACACAATACCTTCACTTTATTTATTTATTCTTATATGGTGCTGAGGATTGAACCCAGGGCCTCGCCCGTGTTAGGCAAGTGCTCTATCACTGAGCTCCAGCCCCAGCCCGTGGATGAGATTTTCTATCTTGTGTGAGGCTCTAAATAATACAGGTATATAAGAGATAAAATAGATATATGGAGAAATTCATAATACTCTATTGAAGGACTAAAGGAAGAATTAAGTAAAGAGTGCCGCAGTCTGGCTGGGCACAAATCACGAGCCACTGAAGCAGGAACAAACTTTATTTCTGAACTCCACCAGCACACTCCACACACGCTCCACGGGAATCCCCACGAGAACTCCAAAGTAGCGGCTGAGGCGGATAGTAATGCCTCGCCTGTCAACCAATACTATTGGCAAAATGCCAGGGGCCATTCCGACTTGGCTGTGGCTCTCAGCAAAGAGGGCAGTACTATGCTCATGTTTAGAAGACTGAATATCCTAAAAAATCCATTGTCTCCAAATTAATCTATAAGTTCAATGGATTTTTAATCAAAATCTTGACAATATTTCTTATATAATTTATTAAGTTGACTCTTAAACTTCATATGCAAGAGTGAAGGTCCAAGAATAATCCTGACAATTTTGAGGACTATTAAGGAGGGAACAACTTAAAAGCACAGACTTATTATTTAAAAATTAAAATAGGAAGATTGGTGCAAAGGGGCTTCAACTGTACCCAAACCTGCACCCATGCCGTAATTTAAATAAGGTTGGCAAATGTGAATGTGTATTATGTTTATAATGCTGAGCAAATGAGTGTTTATTTCTCTGATTTTTTATTCAGTTTTGAAATATTTCATAAATATGTTTATGAATAATTTAAAATAAAATACCTGGTGGAAGAATATTAAAGAAAACCAACCTACCTGTCATGTGCCTCACTCTGAGAATTCATTCTTATGGTGTTTGCTCAGTCTTGGGCTTAGTCTTGCATCTCCTAAAAAGAGTCAGAGACATGGCCAGGTGCAGTGGCCTATAATCCCAGCCGCTCAGGAGGCTGAGACAGGAGGATCTCAAGTTCAAAGCCAGCCTCAGCAACTGAGCAAGACCCAAAGCAACTCAGTGAGACCCTTTCTCTAATAAAATATAAAATAGGGCAGAGATGTGGCTCAGAGGTTGAGTGCCCCAGAGCTCAATCCCTGGTAACTCCCTACCCCCCCTAAAGAGGCAGAGATGTAGCGAATATAACCTTTGGAGACAAACAGGAAATCTGAATTTATACCTATTTCCCGTACTTACTATATGATCTTAGATAAGTATGCAACTTTTTAATCTTCATTTTCCTTACTGGGATAATGGGTTAAAATGCTCATTGCAGATGATTGTCCTGAGGTCACCTCAGGTCAAGGTTATTTTTACCTGTTATGATCACCACTGACACATGTGACAAAGCTTCTCTCTGCACATTTACAAGATCACAGAACAACTCAAAAGCCATGTAGGAGAAGCCAAGAAAGTCAGAACTTTAAGACTTCTGGGGGCTGGGGTTGTGGCTCAGTGGTAGAGCGTTTTCTGAGCATGCGCGAGGCACGGTGTTCTATCCTCAGTACCACATAAAAATAAATAAATAAAATGAAGGCATTGTGTCCAAGTACAACTAAAAAAATTTTAAAAAAGACTGTTTCTGCTTTGGTCAATGATTCAAATGCCTAAAATATTGTACTGGGTGTTTTCTTTGCTTTTTGATTTATAACATTTGGTCTATTTTTATGGAATCTTACTAAACTTCCTTCAACTCAGTCTTTTTTTTGGTACTGAGGATTGAACTTAACCACTGAGCCTCATCCCCAGCCCATTTTTATATTTTACTTAGAGACAGGGTCTCACTGAGTTGCTCAAGGCCTCTCTAAGCTGCTGCGGCTGGCTTTGAACTCAAGGAACCTCCTGCCTCAGCTCCCGAGCCTCTGGGATTACAGGCATGTGCCACTGCTCCTGGCCTCAAGTCAGTCTTTTTGTTTTCAATACTTATTTTTTAGTTGTAGTTGGACACAATACCTTTATTTTACTTATTTTTTATATGGTGCTGAGAGAATCGAACCCAGGGCCTCACACATGCTAGGTGAGTGCTCTACCACTGAGCCACAACCCCAGCCCATCAAGTCAGTCTTAAATGCTTTTGCAATACTGTTAAAATTCCGATTCCGTGAGCATGTGACCAGTTGGTGTTCCACTCATAAAGGCCTGTGGTTGTACAGCAGCCAGAGGAATTTAAAACCATGAAGTTAGCTTGCTTTTGCCATAAGCCTTTCAACGTCATGTACTGGAGAAACATTAGAACTAAAAATTGTTATTAAATAAGTGCTCATAAAATTCCTTGGGATTAGCAGAGAATTTTTCTGAAGGTTATTCTTTTATGACATCATCCTTGTCACCACCTATTTAATATGAATATCTGGTGAGGAACGATGACTTTTAAAGGAAAAACAGAATATGCTTTTAGAAAATCTTTACCTAAAGAATGTTCCCAAATGTTTGATTTCTAAATATTTCTTCCTGCTTCTTTCCTCTCTTGCCCCTGCTAGGAAAGGCACCAATGCCCAGACCTGGCTACAAACCCCAGGAGCCCAACGGCTGCAGCTCCTATTTCCTGGGTCTCAAGGTACCAGAAAGTGTATGTACTGACCACATTACATCTTGCTTGATTGGGTTTAACTAAGAGTAATCCAAGAGTTATCGCTAATGGAAGTGATCATTTATGAAGTCTCACTGAGCAACATAATTAGGTATTTTTAATTAGATCTGGGGGAAGGGAGAAAATTCTCAAAGAAGATATCTGATTTCCTTATCTCGGAGGTAACTGTCCCTCAGGTAAGCCTCTGATAGTGGATTAGTACTTTGAAATCACCACTGAAAACATCATCCCACACTTGGGGTATCAAAACATCATTTAAAATAGATCTGACAAGTTGGACTTATTTAAATTAAATTAATGAGCCATTTCAGCGATGTGCTGGTACTGCTACTGAGAGCTGGTTATTTTAATTACATCAGTCTGACTTTTGCAAGCCACTAATTTCACATTGATAATGTCAACTCAGCTATGTTTGGAGTATTAACATCAAAGAAATGTGCAGTCGTACCCCCAGCTGCTTGCTAAATGTTTATTAGCACATCACTGATACTTTCACAAACTGTTGACCCCCCCCTACGTTTCCTTTAAGACTTCTTAGGAGCACTTCTACCTTCTTCACTATAGAAAAGGAAGTTCATGTAAAATGTAGCTAGAGGGATTTCCTAATAAACTGAGTTTGCATTGTGTCTTAATAAGGCCACACTTTATTTTTCTACTGACTTAAAGATTTTATTTTGCAATAATTTTCTTTCTTTCTTTCTTTCTTTTTTTTTTTTTTTTTTGTACTGGGGATTGAACTCAGGGACACTTAACCACTAAGCCACATCCCCAGATCTTTTTTGTAGAGATAGGGTTTCACCGAGTTACTTAGAGCCTCACTAAGTTGCTGAGGCTGGCTTTGAACTCGTGATCCTCCTGCTTCAGATTCCAGAGCTGCTGGGATTACAGGTGTGCACCACCACATCCAGCTCCTTTGAAATAATTTTCTAAGCAGCATAATGTTTATTCTTCTAATTAAAATGCTGCTCACCTGTATAAAATTATAAAAGAATCCCCTTTCCTCAATATGATTTTCATCTATATGTCAGAAGCACATCTTAATATACTGATTTTGTTAGAAAAAGAATTTTGACTGCCATTGACTACATTTTCTTAATAAACATATAAGTCCTTATGTCTTGGGGAAAGTGTCCCTTTAGATATCCATCCCTTCTGTCCCGCACAACCTGGGTGCCCAGTCTTGTCAACAACCGTTAGAAAGTTATGGACACCAATGTTCTTAGAAATTTTCTTTGAAAATTCTTTCAAATACATATTTATATTACAGAAACCATGCATTTCTGGCTATCAATTTAATAGGTAGAAAATGAGTCATGGTTATTTATAAAACTAAGGACTGAAAAAACAAGCAGTATAACTCCTTGGTATTTATCCTAATGAATTAGTCTCCATACTTGATACATGCATACCCATGTTTATAGCAGCACAATTCAGAATAACCAAACTGTGAAACCAGCCTAGGTGTCTGTCAACTGATGAATGGATAAAGAGTTTTATTCAGATGTAAAGAAAAATAAAATTAAAAGGAAGATGTATGAAATTAGAGACCATTATATAAAGCAAAATAAGCCAAATCTGAAGGTCAAGGGTCATATGTTTTCTCTCATATGTGGAAACTAGAGAGTATAGGGAAAGAAAGGTGTGGGGTGGGAATCTCATGAAAATCTAAGGGAGATTAGTAGAGGAAAGGGACCAGGGAGTGGGAAGGGCTGGGGAGTGATATTGGCCAAAGTGGTACTGTTACATTGTGTGCATGTACGAATGTGTAACAACAAACCCCATCATCATATACGACTATAATGCACAAATTTTAAAGTGGAAAAAAATAACAAGTGGTATGCACTCTATTATTTAAAACTAGTTCAAGAACTCCAATTAAATCAAATTATATGATGGTTACTATAGTCATCTAATGCACAGCTGCCTCTATCTTATGTATTTTTAGTTGCGGGGGAGAGGGACAGCAAAATCCTTTACCTTAGGTATCAGATAATGGGAATTTATCCAGAATTGTAGCACCCAGATCTTTGCCTCATCTAATGTGTTAGATTAACTCTTAATGTTTATCAGCTTAAAAGGGCATTTTTAATGGCTAAAGTCCTTGTGCTGCATTAGATATAGAAAATGGAATAAAAATTCAAATAAGAGAACATTTGGGCTGAGGTTGTAGCTCAGTGATAGAGCAAGTGCTTGGCAGGTGTGAGGCACTGGGCTAAATTGTCAGCACCACATATAAATAAATAAATAAAATAAAGGTATTATATCCATCTACAACTAAAAATATTTTTATTTCTTTTTTATTTTTTGTTTGTTTTTTGGTGCTGGGGATCAAACCCAGAGCCTTGTGCATGCAAGGCAAGCACTCTACTAACTGAGCTATATCCCCAGCTCCTTAATTTTTAACATTTAAATATAACTTAGAGGAAAGGATCTATAATCACTGGATATTCACTCCTCACCCATACCCTGGAGCCAGATTTACTCAGCTCCCATCCAAGTCCAAGTCTAATTTATTAGAAAAACTGCAAAAGATTCTAAAATGCTCCACTTACATCAAGATACACTTTTCCCAATCCTTTATACACCACAGAGTGATTACTCTTCTTAGGTCACTTTTTTAATCCTCCTTGCTCAAGATTCCTTATCAAATCTAACTAGTTACTTTGGAAGTCCAACTTGACCTTCTTCCTAATTAAAAAAAAAAAAAAGTTTTGTTTTGTTTATTTTGTGGTGCTGAGGATCATACTCAGGGCCTAACACATAGTAGGCAAGTGCTCTAGTACTGAGCTACCCCACCAGTCTGAAAAAGGTTTTTAAGTATACATGCACCCATATACGCGCACGTTATTGCCTGCTAAGATGTTTGAGACCTGAATTGATTTGCTCTCATATGATCTGCTCATTTATCTATCTTCTGTATCCTAAGTCAGTCCTCGTCTCTAAAAATCCTTTCTATCTTCTTTTGAAACCATCTAAAAATAAATTACTTTTTCATAACTCTAAGAGTGGCATTCAATGACCTTAGTTACTCAGTTTAGACCACAACATTCAGAGTTGTTTATGGAACACTCTGTGTGTGTGTGTGTTTACGTAATGTTGTTTGACCACAGTCCACTTTGTTGTATGGGAGGGTCCCTGAGAAATGCTGATGAGCTCTTTGTTTTTGTTTTTCTGATTCACAAAGTTCCTTATTTTTTTATTTGTTCTTTTTAGATATACATGACTCTAGAGCATATTTTGATATATTATACATACATGGAGTATAACTTATTAGGAGCCCATTCTTATGGTTATACATGATGTGGCATTTCATTGGCTGATGATCTCTTGATGGAGGAATTTTTTAATACTTTCTTAGTCTTGGACTCCTTTTCTCAAGCACAATCTTAGATGGAAATGTTAACCTAAGTGTTCATGGAATTTGGAGGTCCAGTGACTCTGTTCTCTTGACTTTCCTTCTGGCTTCTATTTTCGTCACTGTAGCTGCCTGCAGGCTTGAAAATTACTGACATCTCAAGAGAAAAAGATAAAAAAATGGGCCCAGCGTTGTTTGTTAAACTAACAAACAAATAATAATCCAAACCTAGCAGCCCGGGCCCCTCAGCCTGTCCTACCCGGCCGTTGGTGTTTCTGAATCCATCTGAATATGTAACAACATTTGAGAACTGGATCAATCCCAAGCTGGGAGAGGTTTTCTAAGGTCTTTGGTCTAAACGTGGCACTTTTGTCCTTCTCTTTTTCTTCTTCCCTTTTATAGATGGACTTGGGCATTCCAGCCATGACCAAGTGCTGCAACCAGCTGGACGTCTGCTATGACATTTGCGGTGCCAACAAATATCGTTGCGATGCAAAATTCCGATGGTGCCTGCACTCGATCTGCTCTGACCTCAAACGGAGCCTGGGCTTTGTCTCCAACGTGGAAGGTAGGTGTCTTAAGGACATTCACTGGTGATGGGGTTTTGATCTTGTTTCACACAGAGAAGTGGCCAGGGCCCCCTTTACTCAAAGAGATTGCCAGGTCTCATGGAGCTTGCTCTCTGGAACACAGGACCACGCAGGAAGGGTGAGGGAAGATTCTGGGCACTTGTTCATGAAAGTGCTTTGCTGTCCTGCCCAGGGGCTGCTGGCTCTGCTCCTGGTGGCAGGACCACACCAAAGCCTTCCCAGAGAAATAAAAGTCTGCCCTTGAAGACAGGAGGAGGAGTTGCCCAACTGGCCTGGGCTATCCATTCCACTGCTAAATAATTTTCCATATAAAGAGTCATGCTACTTAACAGGACCACTCGATTTGCTTTAAGCCCTTTTATATACGTATGTATTTTGCTGACAGGGTAGGAATATTTTGAAAACTTTTTTTTTAGGAGTAAAGGCTTCTGCGTATTTTAGAATCATTATTTTTAAATACTACTTAGCTACTTCATTTCCAGCACTGACTCTGTGATTTTATTTCCCTAGTTTTAATCTCTCAGCTTCTGAAGCCAAGACATTATATCCAGGTATTATTATTTTATAGTTTTAGATGGTAAAGTTTGAAAGGCAGGCTTATAAAGCTGGCCTCATACCACAGAGCATGCCAGCAGGAGAAAGACTCTTGGATCGATGTCTGGAGTATAGTCCTAGATTGAAAGTGCAAGGACCTGAAACCGTGAATAATTAATTGGGCCCTGTAAAAGGGACAGTCACTCTAGCCTGCATCTACAAAGGGTGAAAAATAACCTGCTGTTAATCTCAGGTCGGGTCAAGTGACTCCTCCAAGCCATGTCCTATTGATTTTTTTCTCCTAAAAATATCTCCTTGATATCCCACTTTCCTGGTTGCTGCAGATTAACCCAGTCTCTACGTCCCATCCCCAGTCTGTTCTATCCACTGGGATCAGCACTATTTTTATAGCACGTGAATCTGATCATCTCAACATGTCCCCACCCTGTCTCTCCTGTTAAAGTCTTTCAATAGTCTTCTCTTGATGGGTGGCACTTTCCTGTTCAGCCCTGGCTCACCTCCTCCACCAATACTTTGGATATTCAGGATTTCTCTCCTGACAGCTGCCACTGCAAACCACTTGAGTTGGTGACCCAAACCTTTCTGCCCCTCTGCTTGGAACACCCTGACCATCTATTTGTTGGTGGTGTCGAAACAGCTTTTTTAAGCTATAATTCATATACAACTCCCTCACTTAAATGCTTGTCAGTATTTTCACAGAATTATGCAATCAGCCCTACAACAAGTTTCAGAACATATTCATCACCCCAAAAAGGCACTTCATAGCTATTAGTGATCTCTCCCCAAACTGCCTGCTCAGCTCAGGGCAACCAAGAATCTACTCTATAGATTTGTTTATTCTGACATTTCATATAAGTGGAAGAAGGCAATATGCAGTCTTTCATGACTGACTTCTTTCATTTGGCAAGGTTTATCCATGTTGTAGAAAGTATCAGTATTTCATTCTTTTTTAATTGCTGAGTAATATTTCATTGTATGGCTTTAACATTTAAAAAAAAATCCATGTACCCATCAAATGATCTTTGGGGTTATTTCCATCTTTTGGCTAAACTACTGCTGCTATGAACATTGATGTACAAGCTTTTGTGGGGAACTATGTTTTCATTTCTCTTGGGAATATAACTAGGAGAGAAATTGCTGGGTAATATAGTAATTCTATGTTTAATTATTTGAAGAATTGCCAACTGTTTTACCAAATAACTCCACCATTTTATACTCTCACCAGCAATGTATAAATGTTTGCATCTTCACCAACATTTGTTATTATCTGTTTGTTTTTTTTTTTAATCATAGACCCTAGTGCTTGTAAAGTAGTATCTCATTGTAGGTTTTTTAAAAATATTTTTTTAAGTTTTACATGGACACAGTATCTTTATTTTGTTTATTTATTTTTATGTGGTGCTGAGGATCAAACCCAGGGTCTCACACGTGCGAGGCGAGTGCTCTACCACTGAGCCACAACCCAAGTCCCGTTTTTTTTTTTTTTTTAATATTTGTTTTTTTTTGGTTAGACACAATACCTTTATTTTGTTTATTTATTTTTTTTTTATGTGGTGTTGATGATCGAGCCCAGGTCCTCGCGCATGCTAGGCAAGCGCTCTACCACTGAACCATAATCCCAGCCCCTCATTGTGGTTTTGATTTGCATCTCGGTGGCAATTAATGATGTCAAGCATCTTTTTCTGTGCTTACTGACCACTGCTTATATGCTTAGGAAAACTGTCTATTCAGATCCTTTGACCCTTTTAAATTGGGTTATTAATCTTTGTATTATTGAGTCATAAAAGTTCTCCAAGTTCTTCTTCAACAGATACGATCTGCAAATATTTTCTCCTATTTTTTTTTCTCATTTTCTTGATGGTATTATTTGCAGCACAGAAGTTTTAAATTTTGATTAAGTTCAACTTATTTATTTTTCTTTAGTCACTTGTACTTTGGTGTCCTGTGTAGTAATAAGGGTGCCTACCCAATGTCAGAAGATATACTGGTGTTTTCTTAGAGATTCATTGTTTTAGCTGTGGTCTGTGATCCAGTTTGAGTTAATATTTGTGTATGGCATGAGAAAAGGCCTGGCTTCATTCTTTTCTATGTGGACATTCAGTTGTTAAAGCATCATTTGTTGAAAAGACTGTTCTTTCCCACATTAAATTGGTCTTTGCACTCTGACAAAAATCAAATGATAATAAATGTAAGGACTTATTTCTAGACTTTTAATTCTATTCCATTGATCCATGTCAGTGCCACTCTGTCTTTATTACTATACAATTGTAGTAAATTCCACAATCAAGATTCATGCAAGTTGAAGCATGTATCAGGACTTCATTTTCCTGATCATTCTTAAAGTTGAAACTTGCTCTGAGATGCCTTCCCTCATAACCCTTGCCCCCAAAAGATTAGAGACCTTTGCTGTGGGCTCCCACACCGCCTTGGGGTTACTTTCATCATGGTGTAGTGGAACTCTCTGTGGACCTGCCCATCCTGTCTACATCTTGGTGAGGTCCTTGAGTTGAGGATGATGCCTTTTGTCTGTGTATCCCTGGCCCCTAAGAGAGTGGCTGACAGACATGTCATGCACTCAAGTGTTTTTCAATAGGAGAATGATTGAACTTACTTGAACAGGGAAAGCTACAGGAAACAATGGTAGTTATCTGAGGGAGTATCTTGGGAAACAGTGAACTTAGTGGCACTGAAGATTCCGATTACTAACACCTCAAAGTGTTTTCTGCTTTATTGGAATGGATGGTTGTTTTTCTAAAACAAGTCTCTTTTATTTTTATTTTTTTTAAATTTTTATTGTTGGTTGTTCAAAACATTACATAGTTCTTGATATATCATATTTCACACTTTGATTCAAGTGGGTTATGAACTCCCAACAAGTCTTTCTTAAATGTATGCTTTTCCTTTTAATTCTGTATTCAGATGACTGCCCCCACTTTGACATGAAGCCCAGAGGGTATCATGTCATCTTTGAAAATACATTGTCCCCTCACAATGATACCACTAGGGATAGTCCTCCGTGTTCACCTTTATATTTTTCTTCATCTTTTTCAAGTAGCCTGTGATTCTCTGGCTGACACCGTGTTCAATACTGTATGGACCTTGGGCTGCCGACCCTTTATGAATAGCCAACGGGCAGCTTGCATCTGCGCAGAAGAGGAGAAAGAAGAATTATGAGCATGAGCTGATCCCTCCCTGGTTCTGAGTGACCCCACAGCTGTCAAGTCTCAGAGATGCTGACGTGGTAGATGTGTGTCAGCCTTTCTTCCACCAGTTTGGATACCATAAAGCAGGAGAAAGGAAAACAGCAAGTTGAATCACTCGAGGAAAATTGAGAAAGAGATGTGGAGAGACTGAAAACTGTTCTTCACTTGAACTCTGATCTCCCAGCCAAGGCACGGGTGCCTGGGAATTCAGTTCTTAGCTTAAAAATGAAACTACAAGCAAACCCTCCTATCCCTGGACCTGATCATCACATTTGTAAGTGAAGTTTGGGGGAGTCCAACCAGTTGCAAAGCAATGACTTTCCTCTGGCCCATGCTTCAGTTGCCAGCCAGCACTTCACGTTTAATAAAGTGTACTTTTTAGAAAACTTGAAGAGATGAATGAATTCCATTATCACTTATCTTTCCATTTCACTTAGAAGAGAACAGAACCCATACCGGTAAGTTCCCCAATGACAACCATGATTTCCACTGGAGCCGAAGAGAGAAAAACAGGGGACGGGGTCAGAGGCTTACCTGATGAAGGCCAGCTGGAATTAGGGCTCTGAGGTGCCAGTTCTTCCTCCAGTGGCCGCCCCTGTTGGTATCCCCGGGTATTAAGTGCGGTGAGAGTCATGCTAAGTTCTCAGTTGCACTTGATAGAGCTGGAGGAAGACCCTCCGACCTGCGGGAGTGAGCTAGCTCCCAGCTGTGACTGGATTAAAATCACACCAATAAAGACTCTCTGGCGCTACTGCCCACACACTGGCGTTTTGCAAATGTTCCTCAGGTGATTGCAAATGCTCTAGCACTGAACCACAACCCCGCCACATGGTTTAAAATGTTTATTTTGCTACAGGATCTCACTAAGTTGCTCAGGCTAACTTAGGATCCTCCTGCCTCAGCCTCCTGAGTAGCTACCACACAGTGCTCAAAGCCTGTTTTTTTTTATTTGTTTTTTTTAACAGCTGTTCAGAACATAGCACACTCACCTGAGCATCAAATTGTCCATAGCGGCTCTTACACGGTGACCACAGAGCCCAGTATTTGTGACAGAGAACCCAGAACACCTAAAACATTTACCAAGTGTCCGCTGAGAGGAAAGGTTGCTTGCCTCTGATCTGCATTTTACTCCGTTAGCTTCCTTTTGTTAATTCTACCAGCTCCATTAAGAAATATCCACTGTGGCTACTTAAAAAAAAAATGTCTTTTTAGTTGTAGATGGACACGATACCTTATTTTAATTTACTTATTATTTATATGTGGTGCCTCATAATGCTATGCAAGCACTCTACCACTGAACAGCCCCACCCAGCTGTAGCTATTTTTAAAAGAAAAAGAAGAAACACTTTTCTTGATCTTAACATAAGTCATAACATTAGGTGACAAAGCAAGAAATTGGATTTGATGCAGTTTGTGATGTTTATTTCAAAAAAATTTATCAAGCACTTATGAAAGTAGAAAAAAGTATGATATAATTTTACACCTTTTTCTACTGTCTTACTGACCTAAGGGCATAGAATACTAATTCTCAGGACATATAGTACTAAACTAATTTTGTTTATAGTTCAATTACTGAACCACTTCAATGCCTGTTGGTAAATTTATTAACATTTATTAAGTAAAAATATTTCACTTAAGGCAATATAAAACATCAAAAGAAAATATTATGCAAGAGAAAAACTAAATAACATATTCTTATTACACATTGTTTTATTGATGAGCTTCCAAATCCTCTATTCTATTTGAATTCTGTTTGAATTGAGTTTTCGGGGTATAATTATTTTTATTTATTTAGGGAGTCTTTGGGTATTTAGGACATACCTTTAGTAACTGGTTTGTTTTAAGCTTCTAACTTGAAACATTATACCCAGGTTCTGATTTTAGTGGTCCTATTACATCATACATGAGTTATTTTATTGTAGGAAAGAAACGAAGGAGATGGAAGAGCCTTCTCTGTGGAGTCCTTAGCTTTCTACATTAGGAAGACCCACCCAGGCCACACTGGTCAGCAGAGCTGCGGCCTCTTCCAACCCAGTGAAGCAGAATTAGTGAGTCCATTCTGGGAGTTTGTGTAAATGCACAGTACCCAGTTAAAAGCTCGCAGGTGTTCTAGAAGGTTCTGGAATGTTCTCAGAGGTTGTGGGGAGAAGTTCCAGAGAGGAGTGTGGCTCAAATCAGGGACTCTGGTGTTACAACCAACTAGTCCTCCCAGTCGATGCTGATTGGGCCACCAGTAAGCACATGGCTCTGCGGGCCCTCCAAGTCCTCTCCTTCCTCTGCCGAACGCCGCACTCTCCGGTGGCAACCCTGGGCACAACGGGAACGCTGGTCCAGCATCCCACAGACAAGAACCCGGCAGTGCAGGAACACTTCCTGAAAAGGTGATAATGAGCCTCATTAAATAAAAATAGATGCCACTGCCAGGCTCAGTGGCGCACACCTGTAGTCCCAGCAGCTTGGGAGCTGAGGCAGGAGGATGGCAAGTTCAAAGCCAGCCCCAGCAATGGCAAGGTGCTGAGCAACTGTCTCTAAGTAAAATACAAAATAGGGCTGGGGGTGTGGCTCAGTGGTCAAATGCCCCTGAGTTCAATCCCTGGTCCCCCCCCCCCCCCCCCAAAGAAAACAGATGCCCCTGTGAGGGACCCATAGAAGCCAGACACAACACTAAATGTCCACAAATGTCATCTCAGTCCTAATAGGACACTCTGAGCTAGACATGACCCCATCCCTATTTTACTGAGACTTAGTAAGAAACTTTTCCAGTTAACATATTTGATAATGTGTGAAGTTGGAATTTGAGTCACATGGATAATTTAAAACCTGCACCAGTAACTTCTGTTTTTGGCTGGGGCAGAAGAGAGTTTTGTGAAGCAACATCTCATTCTTCACATCAAGGTCTGGGAAAAACACTGGCTCCTGTGCTTCTTTGGTGACCTAAGACTTCTCTATAAGAAGCTGCCTGAGGCTCACTGCCCAGAGGAGGAGGGGATGAGGATTAGGCACCACTTCAGCAGGCCTTCAGGAAGGACAGGGACACACATACAGGAGGCATGAGAAAGAATGGCACCTTCTGACTTCCTTTATTTTATCTATCTATCTATCTATCTATCCATCCATCCATCCATCCATACTGGGGTGTGCCATTTAACTGAGCTACATCTCCAGCCCTTTCTATGTTTTTAATTTTGAAATAGAGTCTGGCCTTGCTGAGGCTGGCCTTGAACTTGTGGTCCTCCTGCCTCAGCCTCCAGAGCTGCTGGGATTATAGGCATGAAACACCACACCTGGCCCTCTGGCTTCCTTTAGCTTAAAGACTTCAACTACTGTAATGATGACAAAAAAAATTCCATGTTGTCACACTAAAGCCTTTTTGGTATACACTCTTCTAACCTTTATCCCTGTGTGTGTGTGTGTGTGTGTGTGTGTGTATATATATATATATATATATATATATATATATATATATTTAATGTAGCATATTCAATATGCACATAAAAATCCCTATGACAGAGAAAAGGCCCAGTGGCCCGCGGCGGAACAGAGCTTCCAATCACTCCTGCAAGGTAGGCGGGCCTGCGACCCACCTGCAGAAGAGGAGCAGCGGCTTGCTGAGAGGCAGAGCGGCCCCCTCCCCCTGCGCCGGCAAGGTAGAGGGAACTGTGACCACCCACAGAGCAGGCCCAGCGGCCTGCTGAGGGGCAGAGCCGCCCCCCACCCCCCGCGCCTGCCAGGTAGGCGGAACTGTGACCACCGACA